CCTGTCCCTACCTTTTGTTTTCATCGCACTGCGTCTGATGGGCTTTGCATTCAGTTGGTAATTAGAAACATGGGGGATTGAGTGGTTGAGGACAGAGGAAGGATAAGTAAAACGGATGAATCTGGGGTAGAAAAGATCACTTGGCCGGCGCCTAAAACATCTCTGAATATATCAAAAAAAGCTGGCCTGCCAGCAGCATTCAACACCTGGACAAAAAAACAACTTTTGCATTTATTTTTTCTTATGTCTCTTGCTGCCCTCCTGATGCTGAATCTGGCTGTACTTCACACCACTCCCTCCACTTTGCTACATCAAACAGCTGGATGTGAGTCAATGTGATGGCGTGTCCCTATCGGAGTGGGTCACAGCTGTGCTAGCTCCTTCCCTTAACACCCACTCAGCCTCGTGTGGGTTTTCCAGCCAGGAATACTTCACTGGTTGGTGAGCAGGAGCTGATTTCTCCTTCCTACCTATCAGCTCCTTTCAATCAGAGTTCCAACATGGCACCAGTCCCCACAGCAGAGCGAGTCTTCATTCCAGTTTCAAACCTGTCGTGTTTTGCCTTCATTTCAGGTTCCCTCATATTCACTGGGAGGTCCAGTGAATGGTTTGCTCCTGTCTAATACTGTACAGAGATCTGTTATAGAGTCATACAGTGTAGGAACAGGCCATTCGGCCCAACAGGTCCACACTGCCCCTCCGAACAGCATCCCAGCACGGTGGCTCAGTGGCTAGCACTGCTGCCTCACAGTGCCAGGGTCCTGGGTTCAATTTCTCCTCCTCGGGCGACTGTCTGTGTGGAGTTTGCACATTCTCCCCGTGTCTGCGTGGGTTTCCTCCAGGTGCTCCGGTTTCCTCCCACAGTCCAAAGATGGATTGGCCGTGCTAAATTGCCCATAGTGCCCAGGGATGTTTAGGTTAGGTGGGTTAGCCATGGGAAATGCGGGCGTAGGGGTGTGGGTCTGGGTAGGATGCTGTTTGGAGGGGTGGTGTGGTCTTGTTGGGCTGAATGGCCTGTTTCCACACTGTAGGGATGCTATGATCCTGTAACAGACCTCTGTACAGTATTAGACAGGAGCAAACTCTTGTGTCTCATTTACTGTGTATTGCACAGGAGACGATACTGAGACACTGGAACATTGTCACTGTTCATGTACCCTGCCTGACCTGTGTTATTTACGATATGTACAATAAAGCCCAGACACAATGGACAAAGTGGCCTCCTGTGCTGCAAACATTCAATAAAAGCGAGTATCAGGAAACCAACTCCCACTCTACCCCAGAGTTTGTGAAGAAATCTCATCAAACGCAAGAATCACATTCTAGTTTTTATTAAGCTTCACACTGAAAAGAAAAACTGAAAACATACAGAGCACTTTAGCAGCATTGAAATCCCTTGGAGTGGCTTGTGCACACACACACACACACATTCACACTTTTTTTCACATTTCCACCACCAGGAAAAACATCCATGTGGCCAGGGAACCATTAACAAGCAAAGCCTGATGAGGACAATGCTTATGTGGAAAAAAAAGTGAAAGGGAAGGGTAAGGACTAAATTAAAAGATGGACACACTGTTCAGTGTGTGTATCTGTCCCCTAGCTCCTGCTAATAGACTGCCTCAAATTGGCTCCTGAATGGACTCAACTGGGCAGCAAACCAAAAAACAACAATAAATTATAAGATGAGACAAATGAAGTTAAGTCCACAGAAATTAGATACGCCAACAGAATGCTGGGCCTCACAGAGTCTGTGTCAGTGAACTTGCTACAAATTGTATCCTTCAGTTCCTTACTGGACCTGTTTAAAAGCTGGGGATTGTCTGTGTGTGTCTCTGTGTGCATTCATGGAAATCATATAACGCTTCCACTGTTTAATCGAATGGCCTCCAGAGCTCGACGGGTCTCTATGCCACATTAAAAGTGGTTAGAAGTTTCCCCAGAAGCAGTGTGGTAGCTTGGGGTTGGGGGGGGGGGGGGGGTGGTAGGGGACAGTGTGTGTGAGCGGACCAGAATATAATTCTTGACCCTTGTTCACACAGTGAGGCACAAGCTGTGAGCTGTATGAAGTGGGAGGAGGAGGGGTGTAGGCTCTCACCTGCATGGTGACTCCTCTCCACCTCGCAACTGGAGGCTTCAGTTTGGTAAAGGAAACAAGGGCTTGCATTTAGATAGCGCGGCTTGCAATGTCAGTGCATCCCAGAATGCCTCATCGCCAAGAAAACACTTAAGGAGATGTAATCACTATTGTATTGCAGGAAGCAGTCAATATTTGCGCACAGCAAGATCCAATGTCATAACGACCAGGTCATCTGACCCTTGATGATGTCAGTACAAGGTTAGGAGGAAGGATTCTGGGGAGCGGAGACCTGATCGTCTGTGAAAGAGTGTTACATCCACCCTCGCCATCCAGACAGATACAGATGGAGCCTTGTCTGAATGATCAGGAGAGGAATTACAGATGGACGGTAGGAGGAAGGGGTCTGACACCATCGTAAGAACTAGGGAGGGAGCTAAAGAAATGTACAGCTGGCTGGAGCTGGACAAAACCCTAGTGGTCCCAATGGGAGGGACAAGGTCATGCAGAACAATCCTGGTGCTGTAGAGCTCAAGTCCAAAGTGCCCCTGAGTATGTAATACTCATTGGACCAGCTCTCAATTTATCTGTGCACCCCATCCCACAATATCCGTTATTATTGATGGAGTGCAGATGATGGGTCACCAGATTAATTCCAACAATGAGAGGCTTCAATTACACCAACACTCAGCGAACTGGGCTTATTCTCTTGGGAGTAGTGACAGTTAAAAGGAGATTTACTCCAATCCTAAATTGTTCCTCCTGAATTGGCACAGTTTCTGTTAGCAACAGGGTCAGTTAGCAGGGGTCAGAGATTTAAGGTGAATGGCCAATACACTAGGATATTAGATAACAAGGTGTAGAGCTGGATGAACGCAGCAGGCCAAGCAGCCTCAGAGGAGCAGGAAGGCTGACGTTTCGGGCCTAGACCCTTCTTCAATTTTT